GGCACCACAATTCAAAAAGGATGTTGAAAAACTGGAGCGAGTCCAGAGAAGGGCGATTAAAATGGTGAAGGGTCTGGAAACCAGGCCCTATGAGGAATGACTTAGGGAACTGGGTATATTTAGCCTGGAGAAGAGACGGCTAAGAAGAGAAGGGGATATGATAGCCCTGTTTAAATATTTGAAGGGGGGGTCATATTGAGGAGGCCACTAGCTTGTTTTCTGCTGCCCCAGAGAACAGGACCCGGAACAATGGATGCAAGCTACAGGAAAAGAGATTCCACCTCAACATTAGGAGGAACTTCCTGACAGTGAGAGCTGTTCGACAGTGGAACACACTCCCTCGGAGGTTGATGGAGTCTACTTCTTTGGAGGTCTTTAAACAGAGGCTGTATGGCCATCTGTCGGGGATGCTTTGATTTTGAGTTCCTACATGGAAGGGGGTTGGACTGGATGGCCCTTGTGGTCTCTTCCAACTCTATGATTCTATGATTCTATGAAGGAAGAAGCAAATTATTCGGGTCAGGTTTGATAGCTCAGACCAAACAATGCGTTGGTATGTTTGTTTGTTCCTTCTATCGCAAAGCTAGGAAGAACCTCCTGTCAATCCTTTTCTTCTTCATATCTGTCTTCAAAGAAGTCTTTAACCCAAGGTTACCAACTTTTGCTTTCTCTAGCAAGTCTAGTGAAGCAGAACCAAAGTAAAAATACTTGCATAAGGACAAAATCAGTTATCTGTGATAATTGTCTCCTCTTCCTCAAAGGTTCTCCAGGTGTTACAGATACTTCTCTTTCCCTTTGTCATCAACACAGCCTAGTGAGGTAGGATTGGATGAAAGAAAATGACTGGTACAAGATTACCCAGGAAGCTTCATCCTGGGTAGGGATTTGAATCTGGTCCAATACTGTAGCAAAAGTCCACACTGCTTCTTTGGTGAAGGAAGGTCTCATTCCCACTATAGATAAACCAGTTTTTGAGTCAAATTGATGAAGCGATTTAGCACCAAATAAATGTTCACACTATTCGAGCAATGATCGAACCGTACTTCTTTCAATTTAACCCACTTTGCGTTCACATTCATCAATGAATCAATTCAACATGGAGTTGCATCACAGGGCTGACTGTGCCACAGGGAACCAATTCAGATCTTCAGGTCGATCACACTAGCACTAAACCGATTCATTGCAAAAGACGTAGGGAATTCAGCAGATCCAGAAAAAGCGCTTTAAATGGGTTTAGCACTGGGGGGGCTCGACAAACCGCACTGAGGATTCGGCGCAAGTGCAAACAAGGGCCATTTTAAACAGTTCAAACCGGTTTGCAAACCAGTTTGTTATGTAGTTGGAATGAGACTAGGTGGGAGTCTGGAGGAATTTGGCAGGTAAGAGATGGCTTGATGAGAATCTGCTAGGAATCCCAATGCTTGGGAAAATTCTGCAAATCCAGAATCCCCCCAGACTGCAGGGCCACTGGGATTCTAGGAACTGTAATCCAAAAAAAGTAGTTTCCTCAAGCTTTGACCTGACAGCATGTTTTCCCAAGACCAAGAGCAAGGAATGAACTGAGGCTAATAAAATATAGCCAATGTTTTGGCTCCAGTAACCAAAGAATGGTATGCAGCAAGTCACTATCTGGACCTTTTCCAGAAGTGATGTAGTGCTGAGGAAATTTTTTCTTGATGAACCTTTACCTTTTATCTGAGTTTTAAAGATGCAAAAGTTCTGCCAATTTCTTTCTTCTTTTTTTGGAACTCTAGAGAGATCTTTAATAACCTCCATGTCATTGCAGTGCCTTTTGCCTACCCTCACATCCTAACTCTGAGCTATTGCACTTCTGTTCACCTTGCAACTGCCAGTCTGTCATCTGCAATGCTCCATATCATGTCTAATTCTGTGTGATGTGATTCCATACGCACTAGGACATCTGCTGATAGCCCCAGGAAACACAGTGGTGTTCTCAAATTGTCAACTAAATTGCCAAATTCACATGATTTATCAAAGCGTTATCATTATCTGATCTCTTTCTCTCTCCCACTCATTTTAAATCCCCTGACTTCAGGAAACAGCCTAACTTTTCTTGAAGACTGGATGGAGGGAAAAGACAAATGTGCAGTGTAAGGGGCTCTACAAATGGCCCCTAAGGGACAGCTCCATGCCGCCCCTGGGAGTGCCGGATCGGGGCCGTGACAACCGCACACCGTGGCCCCAACCCGGCACTTTGCTGCTCCAAAAAGAGCTGGCAAATGCTGCTCCTCTTTGGAGCAGCAAAAAGGCATCCTTGCCATGGTGATGGCAGCTTTTCTGTGCTCCTTTGGCACAGCGTGTCTAAATGCTGCACCAAGGGAGCCCCCTGATGCTGCCTGCCAACTATTTGGGTGAGTGGTGTGAGGACATCGTGGGGATGGAGTCAGGGCAGTCAGCGTGTGGTTGCCATGCCCTGACTCCATCCTCAGGCCGACCTTTTTGGCTGGTCTGTACTGGCCCTAAGTTAATTTCATGGAGGTTTCTCCTTTTGACTGTCTTCCAGTGACATAAGGCATTTCCTTTGGAGGGAAAATGTTCTTTGCATAGATACAACTGCATCCTACAATAAATAGGATCCAAAGATTGAGGCTTTGGGTCTTTCCAAATATTTTTGCCCATGTAATTAATGCAAACTGGTTCCCCATTTATTCTCTGGGACCCAGATAGCTTTCCTAAAAGTGAGATCACATATTCCCACTACTGCAACTCAAATTTTTATGTCACCAGGAATCTACAACCCAACTCAACCCTACCTAGAATGATTCACTGAATATTTTCTGTAGATTTCCCTCCTCTAACCCTTTTTTCCTTGACAAAATCCTTGAGGAAATTGTTGCTCGCCACCTGATTTTCTAGATCCATTTCATGGATAGTTTGGCCTCAAAACTGCCCTGTGGAAGAACTTTGGCCATGAATGAAGATAAATGTATGACTTATCTTGACCTTCTAAAGCAGACCCTCTAAAGGGCATCCTTTCCCCTTTAAAGGCTGAGGGACTTCAGCTCCCAGAAGCCTCAGCCATGTTGGCCAATAGTCCCACATTGGCCAATAGCTCCTGGGATTCTGGGAGCTGAAGTCCCTCGGCCCTTAAAGGGGAAAGGTTGCCTACCCCTGCTCTAAAGCCTTTGATACATTTGTTGTTTAGCTGCTTTCAAGTTGATCTCAACTCATGGCAACCCTGTAAATGAAACATCTCCAAGCCCCTGTATCCTCTACCTCTCTGATCAAATCCTGCAGGCTCAGACTGCTAGAATAGTGCCTTTACAGACTGCTAGAAATAGTGCAAATTGAGACCACTTTAACTGCCCTGGCTCAGTGCTAGGGAATTATGGGAACTGTATTTTTTTTTCTGGGACATTGAGTCTTCTCTGTCAGAGACCTCTGGTGCCACAATACAGTTCTCATGATTCCCTAGCACTGAGTCAGGGCAGTTAAAGTGGCCTCAATTTGCACTATTTCTGGCAGTCTGTATTAGAGGATAGCCTCCCTAATTGAGTCTATCCATCTGGCATGCGGTCTTCCTCTCTTTCTGCTTCCCTCCACCTTCCCCAGAATCAATGCCTTTTCTAATGTCGTGACTTCTCATTAAGTATGACTGTCTCAGTTTAGTCATCTTGGCTTCCAGGGAGAGTTCTGGCTTGATCTGTTCTAAGACCCTTTTGTTGTTGTTGTCCATAGTATCCTCAGCACTCTTCTCCAGCCCACATCTCAGATGAGTTTATTTTCTTCCAATTTGCTTTCTTCA